TCTCTTGCGGCTCTTTCGAAGCGCGTGCTTAAAAAAAAAAAAAACTTTCAAAATCAATTTGTATAAAGTCAAAAAAAAAAAAAAAAAAAAAAAAAAAAGAAAGAAAAAAAAGAGAAAAGAAAAAAAAAAGGGGGGAAACTCGTCGCGGCGAGAGAAAGAGGCGAAGAAGGCCGTGTTTATCCTTTAAAGCGGATGTAACGGAGGATAATGCGCTTTCGGCGGAAGGGGAAGTGCATTTCTGTGCGCTCGCAAGAGCGAGCGAGTCTGGCGCGCGAGCGCGGGGAAAGAAAAATGTATGTGCACTCACCTTCTTGCCTCAGGAGCATCACGAGCAGCACAAGCGCAAAATCCATCGCTCGACGCGGCGCGGCAGCCTCCCGGTTCCCGCAGATTTCGACTCGGCTTAATAACAATCTCGGCTCGGCTTCCTCGGCGATCGGCGCACACAACTAACCGTCTCTTCTTTCTGGTGCGTGCGAAAGAAAGGGAGACGTAATAACGTGTGACATCAAAGACGGAAATGTACAATTGACATTGCGTTTAACTTGATTATTATTCCAACTCGTCGGTGATATATATTTTTAACCACTGTGCCCGCGCGCGTTCGGGAGGAGAGCTCTCTCTTGTTGACTCGCGCGTACCTACTCTGCTGCTACTTTTTTCATTAGAAATTATTTGCAGCGTTAATTCCGTTAAAGTCTCATAGTGTTCCTAGTGTTAAAGCTTTTGTTATCGTATTATTGTTATCTTAGATAAGTACTCTGCGTTGTAATTTGTTCTTATTGATTAGGCTCGAGAACAGTTTTGCAAGCTCGTCATTTAAAGACTTCGACGATGTTTTCTTATTGTGTCTTTTCTCTTCAATAAGATTGTTATTGTTGGTTATTATTATTCTTATCATTATTAAGGTATTAATATTTAAACAGTGATTGCGATTATAATCAGGGTCCCAATCAGTGTGTTCCTCTATTATAATTCTATTACAATCCGATCGGTTAAATAAAGCGCGCGCGATCTCTTGTCGAATATTTTGAAATTTAAACGATAATTGAGAACTTTACGTAACTGCATCAATGGGATAATTGCGTAATAAAAAATCAATATTCGTTGCGCTTTTAATAAATTCTCCGATACACCGACGACAACGACGACGACGATGACGTACTTCGCAGTGCTCGAGCCTTAATTTTGCAACAAATTATCAATCTGGTTTGTAAAAAAAAAAAAAAAAAAAAAAAAAAACAATTGATTTCGTTTAGACAATCACCGCGTCTAATTGTCTCTCTCCTCGCGAATTCTCGGGGGGAGGGGGGGGGCGATCTTAAAATTCTATCGCGTCGCGACAAAATCAACGCACACGTCGTTCGGAGGCACGTTCGCGGCGCGACACACCCTGTCGCTCGATGCGAAAAAGAATCGCATTGTAACGGACGCCCGGCGTCACAACGATAGAGACAATCGCGGGAATTGATAGCAAACGGGAAAACGACGGGAAGAGAACGAGGAGAGAGGTCGGAGGGGAATGGTAGAGGGACGAGCTTGTCAGGTACACGCGAGAATGCCCATCGCGCCGAGTCTTAATTACCGGCGAGGTTCTTCGTTATTCCACTGTCAATTAAATTTAATGATTGCCGCGGGTTATTGTGTTTTCATCGTGTGTCCAATCCACGTGGAAGGAGCGCGTTTATACGCGGTTAACGTCGACCCCCTTATTTCGCATGCGTTTACTCACGACCTCGTTTACACGTCACGACGCATTTTCTCCCTCTTCCCTCCTTTCCTTCGAGGAATATCCCTCGTCGGTCAAAAAAAACGAGGCACTCGAGAGAATCTACATACAGTCTTGGCGATCCGATCGACATTACCGACGTCTTCGTCGTCGTGGAGAGAGCGCGGCGTTTTTCCTCTCCTTTCCAACTCCTTTCTACACCATTTGAAAATTTTTCGCGACTCAAGGCGCTCTCTCTTTCTCTCTCTCTTTCTCCTTTTCTCCGTCTTTCTTTATTTCTTAAGGTGCTAAAAGCGCTCGCTCAGTAGTCGAGTGCTCTTCATCTTCGAAGCTTTCGGTCGAGAAATTCCGGTAATTCCACGTGGTCCGGTTGCGTTTAACTGGATTTTCTCGTCGTCTACGAGAGAGAGAGAGAGAGAGAGAAATCGTAAGTCAAAGTGCAACGCCTTTTAATTCCGCGTTTGCGAGAGAATCGCCGCGCGCTTTTCCCAACGACGTTTGGTCGTCGTCGTCGTCGTCGTCGTCGTCGCTGTAAATGTTGAGCGCGCGAATTAATGAGCGCGCGTTTCAGCAATAAAAATTGCCAGAGCGCGTGAATAAGGCAAACGCTTCAGTCGCGACAGTCCAAAAATAGAAAACGGACTACTTTCACAACCCACCCTCTCTCGTGTTCTTTTTCTCTTCACACTCCCTTCTCCGAGCGAGCGAGTTAATTTCATTAATAATTACCGGCTGTCAAGACAGCTCGGAAGACCGCCGCGCAGCAGTTCCGAACGCGAGCTCGAGAGCTCGTGTAGGTGGGTAGTAGCCCCCGAATAAATTTATAACGAATTTCAGAGGAATAATCCCGGGGTCGAGAGAGAGAGAGAGAGAGAAAGAGAGAGAGAGAGAGAGAGAGAGAGAGAACGGACGGACGGACGGACGGAAGAGAGTGAGAAAGAGAGAGAGAGAGAGAGAAATCTCGAGCGAGCTCTTGTCTGAATAGCCCGAATCAGCCGAGAATACTCGGCGATTTGACTCTGGGTTTCCGGAAGGACGATAGGCGAGGAAACGAAGAGGGGAACGGTGCGGAGAAGAAAAGAGAGAAACTCTCCGCGCCGCGCAAACTACTACTCCCTACGCCGAATGCGGATTTTAAATGCAACTTGTTGCGAGTTTGCGCTTCGAAGTCCCGAAGCGTCGTCGTCCGGCGCTTCGAGAGAGAGAGACGCCCGCACGCGCTTTTGCGCGAAAGTTGCCAGCACGACGACGTACGCACGTACGTCACGTCTCTCGCCGATCGATCAAATGTGTCGGGAGAGAGTAAGAGAGAGAGAGAGATAGATAGATAGATAGATAGATATGGATACGAGTAACGCGGGTTTCGGTTTATCGATGCACAACGGTCGCTACTAATGAGCGTGGAGATTGAACGCTGGGGATGTTGCTATTTGTCGAGCAGGGCTAACCCTGACGCCCAACTTCGGAATAGTGATTTGTGTTTATAATTGGGATGTATCTTGCGAGGATTCTATTTGCCCGCGGGGTGTGTATCGCCCCGTTCATCACGAATCACGCGTGCGGGAATGTACCGCAATCAAACCGCTTTTCTTCGCTATCTCGCCGAGTGGGAGAGAGAGAGAGAGAGAGAGAGAGAGAGAGAGAGAGAGAGAGAGAGAGAGAGAACGGGTTCGAGTATATTCAAACTCCGAGCTAATCTGCGGAAGTAGCGGTGTGTTACATATTTCACTCGATGTGAAATCGTAAAGCGGTTAGAGATCAACAGACAATTGCGTTTCCGCGCTCCAAGTATCCCCGCGCGCGCGCGTGTGTGTGTGTGTGTGTATAGATAATAAAAATTAAAACTCGATACTCATATAGAAACTCAAAGCTCGTGAGAAATTTTGCTAAGCTAAATTATCGTTAATTTGTTTCTCCAAAATATCGACGAAGCATCCAAAAATGTGTTTATACACGTGCGATTTTACGTATTCGTCTTCAAAGGTTCGTTTTTTTTTTTCTCGCGCTCGTCGGACACGTAGATTACAAATTTTATGCGGCGCACGACGCCGGTGAATTGCGAAGGACAGGAAGGCGAGATCGAGGAAAAAAAAAATATTGTGTTTCTCTCGCACGCTATTTGTCTCGGAACTGAAAAACAAAGCAACACTCCCACGTTTTCTCCCAAGTTTCGTAAATGATTCGAAAAGAGCTAGGAGTTCGAAAGGTCGGGCCTCGAAACTCGCACGAATTGTAGCGAACCGCACACGCTGCTGTGTGCGCGCATGGTTTATTTATTCGCGGCGAGACTCTGTTCTCTCGCGTTGCCCGATTCTCGTTCTTTTTCCTTCTTCATCCCCTTCGCGCCCTGAATGCGCCCACGTGCGCGCGAGAACAGCCGCGCGCGCGAGAAACATTCCACACGCGACGTGGGGCTCTTCTTTCCCGTGTCCCGATCGAGTGCCGCGAAAATCGATTTGTCAGCGAATATTCCCCCTCGGATCCGGGTTCCGAATGAGGGTCGGCGGGCGGACTGCTCGGCGTTCATTCCTGACTTATTCACACACCGCGGTACTTTTGTTATATTTATATCGACTTCACCCCGCCTTCTCACGGGCTCTGCTTTCCCCCGGCTTCCTAAGGAGATTCTTCCGCCGACGGAATTACGATATGAATAAACGAAGAGGATTTTATCGTCTAAGACATTCTTCTTGCGATCGTGCGTCGAAAGTTAGAGACGCCACGTCGGCTTTTTCGGGACGAAAAAATTCGGTCGATAATGCGGGCATTATTTTTCTGCCAGGATTTCTGCCGACTCTCTCTTTCTCTCTTTTGATTTAACGTAATACAGATCTTGTTTATTATTTATTTCTTATCTTGCGAGAGAGAGAAAGAGAGAGAGAGAGAGAGAGAGAGAGAAAGCTGTTTGGGGAACTTGTAAAACGAAAGAACGCGCGTTTTCATCTGGATATGAGATTTTCGGCAAAGGAACGAATCCGACGATGATGCGCTTTCTGCTCATTTCATTTCGGTATCAAAATCTCACAGACGCCTCGGCTCCTTTACTTTTCTGACTGAAGAGTTCGCGATATATCTCACGAGAGATATCAATCCCTTAACATCTCTCACACGCCCGTTCCAGCCGATTGTTAATTTCGTTCGCGTACGATTTTCTCGCTGCGCGAGATATGAGGTGTATGTATGTATTTGCCGATGTCACCGTCGATTCAATCGTCACTGCGTCGATCTATCGTCGCTTTCTCTGTCTCTCTCTCTCTTTTTCTCTCTCCCCGTGCGTGCTCTCTCTCATTCTCTCCAACGCGAAATTCCCCGTCGTGCGTAAACGTCTCTTATTGCTCCTTTCCCCTGTGCCGTTCGCTCCATCAATACGCGTCGCCGCGACAACGCACGCTCGATGAAATCGCGCGATCGAAGCCTCGCTGTGCGCGCTTCCAAATTCTCGTCGTGCAATTGGCCGATCGCGTCGAGTCTGTATCGTCACCGATACGTGTAACTTATACGATTTTCATTATTCCTCCGTTCTCGATTACGAGCGACTCGACTATCGCATACCCTAACGATCCCTCCTACGCCACCTTTGATCTCGTTTAAGAGCGGCTTTCCGCAATTCTGGCGGTAAAACACGAGGGGAAAGGAAGAGACGCCGAACTTCCGCTTCGATAATCGTGTCACGATCCCGTTTGCGTTCATATCGACCCGGGACGGATATTCCTCGTCGTTTGTATTCTTACGACTTAATAAATTCTGATGCTTTCGCGCGAGTGAACAATCCCGGCGTTCTCCGATGTCGTTCGATGTGATATATCGCTTCGATATTTCACCGATTTCTTGCGAAACGATTCGCAAAAAAAAAAAAAGAGACTCATGCACGTTCCGCGAACGAGAACGCGTAATAATTTAATACTGGCTTAGAAAAAAAAAAAAAAAAAAATGCGTGATGAAACAAGTTTTGTCGTTACGAGAAACATTTGTCTGCTGAAATTTTTCGTTTCACTAACAAACTGTTTCGTTGTTGGCAAAGCAACAAATTTAACGAGCTTGGCACATTTTTCTCGCGATAATTAATCCTCTTGCTGTGTCGCGGCAAACATTTTTTTTTTCTGCGTGTCACGCGCGTTTACTCTGTGCGTTTTTTTTTTTTTTTTTTTTTTATTTAAACAAAGGATTCTCAGTGGGTTAACAACCAATCAAGCTGTGTCAATTGATTTCGGGAGGAAATCGAACGGCGAGCTTTATGTCAACGAACGTAAGCCGCGCGGATCCGTCCTCCGATTTGCGTAATTCTCCAGATATAAAGGAGACGGGTTCGTTCTCGGACGCGATTCGATTCGCGACAAACACACGATCGGCGCTTCGCTTTTCGGGTCAAATTTCGCGAAACTCTCCTCTCTCTCTCTCCTCCTTCCACCGTGCCTCGCATTTATTTTAAACACGTTTAATTCGCTCTGTTGGTTAGTTTGCGCGTACTGGGTCGTAAACTACGTGATTCGCATAATTCTATGTATATATATTCAACACACAGCGCGGCAGAACCGGATATGCATTAACCGGTGCGCTATTTTGCGCGATCGAGATATCTACCCGAAATTTTGCGAAACCGCGTTTATTTCGAACGGATCGCATGTATTAATTCGCGTTGCCGACCGGATTCGAGGGTACCGCGACCACCGCCTCCCGCGTCCCTCCCTCCTCATCACCTCACCCTTTTCTCCCAGAACTATCGACTCCCCGTTATTTGTCGCGCAAAAGAGAGATAGATTTCAATTGTGGATATTATATGCGGGAGACATCATGGGGGCTGCTGTTAAATCCCATTGGCGATCGTGCCTCCGACCGCGATGTCGAAAATTTCGCGCGACCGCGTCGTTTATTTTGTAGCGCGCGCGCGGAATACCATTAATTCGCGTCGCTGGACGATTTGAGACCGCGTTTCGGACGGCGCGCTGCCGCGGTTTTTCAGCCTACCTTCGCGGCCCGTCGCGGGTTAAGAGCGGCTCGCCGCAATTCCGGGGACAGCATCGAAACTCTTCCGGCCGGCTGGTTTCATCGCGCGCCCGATCGAGCGTCCGAAAACGCGCGAGCGCGGTTTATAGGCCGGCCCGACGGGCGGCCGACAAAATTAAAATTAGAGACAGCTGTTCGGTTACTGTCGCCCGCAGCTGTTGTTCCACCGAATAAATTTTTTTTTTTTTCATTCAGTGTGGCGAGCGTTCGGCCGCGAGCGCGATCCACTAGCGGAACAGAATTCCTGTGAAAAAAAAAAAAAAAAAAAAAACCCAAAACGCCGGCGATTAAACGCGACACGATTATAATTCGCTCATGCGAGTAACACTGCCCTCAAAGAGAGGAAACACGAGCTCGTCCTTGTGTGCGCGCGCGTAAATCAGTTCGAGGAGACGTGCAAAGCTTGAATTAATTCCCATCTCCTCGCCGCGAGCAAACTGCACTGCAACAACTACAGCGATTCTCGCTGAAAGTCCTGATGTGATTAACGTCTTTAGTTCCAGAGTCGACTTCTCAGTCACGTAGACGTTTCTTGCAATGTGTTTTGTTTTTTGCTTTTTTTTTTTTGGTTTTTTTTGTTTTATCTCACACAATTTTCCGCGACGAGAAGAGCTCGAGGAGAAGAGCTTCTCTCTCTTGCTCCGTTCGCGAACGTGCACGCGCGACCACAACTTCGTAAGTGGCGCCGCGACGCGCGCGGAACCGTCGTCCGAGTGAAAGTTCGCGTCGCGGATGGCCGATGCCGACTACGAAAGCTCGACCGCGCGTCGTTTTACCTCCGTGCGGCGGTTCGTAGCACCTGAGCGCCTGCGCGCCTCGTGCTCGGCAGGTGCAACTGCACGCGCCGAACCGCGCGTACAGTCGACGACGATCGCCGACGAGCGCCGAGGTGTCGCGCCGACGTTCTAACGAGAAGCATCGACTTACATACACGAGAATGTAACATTAGAATATATGTTTTGTCAACATTTGTTTAAGCGAATTAAACGTGATAAAATAAAGGCAATAAAGGATAAAAATTAAATGGCGATCTATAAATAAAGATTGCGAAAGTTGCAGGAGAATAGAATTTTTCAGACGAGACTTTTTGCACATCTCGCAATTGGAAATCTTATTAAGTTCGAGCGAGCATTTAAACGTCCTTATCTCAAATTCCAAATTAAAGCGCGAGCTTTAAATATCGGACAATTTTCTGTCTAAGAAGAGAATTTCGAAAGCGCTTCAAAAATTTTGAGCAAACTTCGGAGGATGGCGAGATGTGAAAAATGTACACCGTGGTTCGTTATACGCCGGATCGGACTTCGGGTTTAATTATGTCGTTCGGGACTTGCGCGAATCGCATATCGAAGAAAGAGTTTTCGGAACGTCAGAAGCCCGAAAAAGAATTACGAGGTCGTGGGGGCGCGTTGCCACGCGCGGCGGCACGGAAGTGCGACGCGAGTGAATTATCTCGCATCGATAAATCATGGAACGCGTCGGGGGGGGATCGACTGGGGAGACGCCGGGGGCGTCGTTATCCGCGCCCATCTACGCGGACGTGTCGCGATACCCGTGTGTTCAACGGGTGATTACGGGGGGAGGGTAGGGGAGAGGTATGTCGTCTGAAAACGGGGGAGCGCTTGTATACGTCGTATACATTGTCAGGCCGAATCGGAAGAATCGGCGACGGTGCCTCGGTTATATATACATATAAGCGCATAGTTATCGACGATTCGGCGGAACAATAATTCTTCTCTTCGGCCGCTTCGGGGGACGTAACTCCCGCGGGTAATTTACGTCCCTTCTCGCGGACGCCGATTTTCGGGTCGCGCGCAAACCTGCTTCACGATCGTGCGATTCGCGTCGCGTCTTTCCCTTCTCTCCGATAGATCGATATCCGGTCGAGTCGAACGACGAACGAAGGAGATTTCCAACCACGACGAAGTTTGCGAAGACGCGCCCATCTTTGAGAACACGCGCGCGCGCGCGCGCGCGTCTACGAAGCGAATAATTCTATTGTTGCTTTGGCGAACATGCAACTCTTGTACGTGACCCAGAAGTCACGTAAATCCAGTTTCGCGCCGGAATCAGCGCGGGCGCGCGCGCGTGCATCCGGGCATTATTCGTCCGACTAATTGCCCGAACAATCGTGAACGAGCACCGGCGTTCACGCGCGCGCGCATTCGATCGCGCGCACCGATTCCCCTGATTTGTTTGCCATTTATCGGCCATTTAAATGCGTTGACGATCGGCCGTTTAATGCGCGGTGTGCGATTGTCCGGAGAAATAATTATTCCCTTCTTTCTCTCTCTCTCGTTTTCCGCCCGCTGCCTGTCGGCAGCTGCATTTCGTTTGCAACCGGGCGCGCGATTGATTCGCCGATTTGCTCGAGTAGAAAGTGACGAAATTTCCCCGGGCCCGGCGTCGTCAATGAACACTCACAAACGAAATGCGGAAATCGAGAAGGAAAGGAAAATACGAATTTATATTCCGGAAGAAGAAAATTTATTTCCACGGAAAGAAACGAACTGGCGCAACGTTCGACTCGTAACTGTCTCCGTTCGAGGGCGATATTTTTACAGATCTGAAAGAAAAAGAGTTTTCGAATGTGTGAATTTCTGAGTGGCGTTCGTTGATTGTCGGAAAATAAATGTGGTCTCTAAGTTTTCAGAACTTTTAGAGATATTAATGACGGATGCGTCAGAGTCCGCGAGTAAAAAATTGTCATTATAAATGCGATAGTTTTTCGCGGATTAGATATCGCTCGTAGATTACAGATCCGCATTGGTCCGCAGAGACCAGATGAGTGAAAAGTCAAAATTCTTCTCTGGCGCGAAGCGCGTGTCCGCAGCGCAAAAGTACAATATTACGGAATTAGCGTTTCGATATTTGCGCGCGAGTCTTTTTGTTGATCGACCCCCCGTTCGCTTGCCGCAGCGGAATCTGCGGAAGTTTGTTCGTTAGTTTCCACATAGATTCGGGGGGATTGCGAAGGAACCGCAAGAGGTTGAAACTAATTTTACCCGGTCTCTCTCCTCGCGGCCGAAATTTGCCGGCGAGCACGTTCGCGCTCCACTTTTTTGTCGGCGCGCGAAAGAAAAAACCGAGAAAAAATATCATCGCGACGAAGACGGCGCGTGATGCACGCGCAGGTGCGCACGGCCCGGCACATTTGCGTGGCGATACGATCTCTCTTTTTATTTGCGACCGTGGGGTCGCGCGCGATGAGGTTTGCCGCCGCCGTCGTCTTCTCTCGGAATTTGCCGGGAGCTTCTTTCCGGTCGACCTCGCAACCACAGCTCTTCGCAATCTCCGAAAATTGATATAGCGGCGTGCGTTCCGCGTGTTACGCTTAACGGGTAACGGTAACCGTTAAACCGTTCGCGCCCCCGCGATGCATTTCATCTCGCCACGATGAAACGGCGCGCGCATACTCGAGACGAAACGAAATTCCTAGGAAGGCAGGATCAAAGGGCGAACGGCGCCTTCGCATCGTTTCGTCTTCGCCTCTTGTTACTCGATATTGCGCCGCGAGGCGTTCCGACGAAATCAAGATGCCGGGTTAATGTTTAAGGCGGAAAACGGACACGTAACCCTGTTTACGAGGCAAATCTTTGCCCCGTTAGATGAAAGCACCACGCGCGCGTTAACTTCGTTCCGCGCTATCTTTTACGGTATTGTCTTTAATAATCTTTAGAAGATTAAGTAGCGATCACGCACAGCATCCGGTGCGCATCTTCGCGTTATTGTCTTTGATATTCCTGCGGAGATTAAACACCCGGAAAACAGNACGGAAAAGACATTACGAAGATCTGAGAGACCGGTTGTTTTTTTTTTTTTTTTTTTAATCGCACGACGCGCGATATAAATGCAAAAACTCTCCTCGCGAGAAAAATACGTTTCGCATTACGATTCTAATAAACGCAGCAGTTATGAGAGTAGTCGATTTACCGAGCGAAAGAACGTACGTACTTTTTTTTTTTTTTTTTTTATAATATCGCGTGCGAAGGCCGTTGTTTGTATTTTATTGTGTGTTTATCCGCGTTTTATCTTAACCTTGTTTTTACTGTTACATCTCCATAAAGCTCTTACGTTGAGACAGATAAATAAAACAAATTACTCTCGTTGCAAGATAAACGCGCTCCATCTCTTTCGCGCGTAACGATCGCATTTTATAGGAATTCGTTTTCGCTTACCAAGCTTTCCTTTGTAATACTTTGCGCGCTCGCTCGTTCTACTTTAGTCGACGGTTCGGTATAATCGGGGCCGTTTTGCTTTGACAGCTCGTAAAACGCGCTTCCCGAATCAAATAATTTGCGCGCGCGCGCGGTTATTAACGCGAGCAATAAATAAGTAAATCGGTTTACGCGACCTTTCTCACAAACAAAAAGAGCGAGACAGAGCGGGAGGAAAACCAATTGAATCTTTGATTCGCGTATCCGAGAATCGCGGCACTCACGCTTGAATACCGCTGCGCCAATTTCTTACTTCTCGCGCGCGCGCGCGCGCGCAAAATCGATGCGAAAACAAAACTAACTACTTGCTCTCGCAATTATATGAAGTTTCTCGATAATTCGTAATTTCACGCAAACACAGTTCGCGATTTCAGAGAGAATAACGTCTTCTTGATGCAGCTACATTCGAAAGGGATGAAGTATAATTATCGTTATTGCTGTTACGTTATGTTTATATTACTATATTTGTCCTCATTATACGCTTATTATTATACGCTTCTGTTGTAGAAATATGTATCCATTCAGGAATATAATATTACATTTCATTATGCAATGATTATACATATATATGTATATATATATAGGCACGTTGTACATGCAATACTATGTCATAATTAATGCCAAAGGGAAGATTAGTTGCGCAAATTGCTTCGCATTCTAATCAGAAAAAGACTAACGGAAAAACTAAATAACGGAACATATCACGCGCGAAAAAAATGCATAAAACATCGTGAAAGATGTGACGCAAAGATACAACAATAATAACGTGAAAAATTAAAACATCGCAGATA